CGTAATTTTACGACTTTGTTCTCGTAATTTTACAACTTCGTTCTCGTAATTTTACGACTTTATTGTCGTGATTTTACGACTTTATTTTCGTAATTTTACGACTTTGTTCTTTAATTTTAGGACTCTGTTCTCTAATTTTACAACATATTCTAATAATTTTACGACTTTATTCTCATAATTTTAAGACTTTATTTTCCTAATTTTAAGACTTTATTCTTGTAACTTTACGACTTTATTCTTGTAACTTTTCGACTTTATTCTATAACTATATACTCTATTCTATACCGCATAGAGCAGATTGACAGATTATTCTCATTGGGATTTATTTCTCGTAATTTTAGGTCTTTATTCTTTTTCAGATTGACAGAAGAAAAAGATTTTTATCTTAAATGTAAAATGTTTACCTATTGTTTTTACAATCTTGCTATAATTCCTTCTCTAAGTAGGTCGCTCTGCCAGCTAAAGACACGTTTTACAGACTCTATACTCCAAGTAACGATTAATTGATTTATAAATTAGTTGATTATTTCAATAATCGATTAATCACAATTAACCAGGTTAATAGTTTCAGCCCTAGCTGGATCTCAGCGTTTGAGCGGCCAATCCCTGATCAGAACCAATCAGCTGTTTTCTATTGAGGGTTCTGGTTCTGACCCGCTGCATTATATTTAACAGTCAATCAGAGTGATTTCGTCATAGCCCCCCCCCCAGCAGGTACAGGGCCAGAAAAACCAGTAATGGAAACACTGGCTAAACGGGCCGAGTGGAAAGACAGAATCTGAGAAGTGATGTGAGAAACTTTAACAGAAACAAATGAAGGAATAAAACTTTAAAATTGATCCTTTTTATTTTTCCTGCATTAAAACTGAAGACTTTAGTTTAAGTTAATAAACGACCAGCAGCTCATAATTTAGTGGCTTTTTTTTCAAGCTGATATCAAATAGATAAACTTTGCCTGATATGTTTCAGATTTCTGGTATTTCCTGTTGGATTCAAATCTACCATCTTTATCCAGTTTAATGTCCTAAAGTCTGCAGTAAAAACATAAAAGAAGAGTTCAAAGTCTGATTTAGTTGATCATCAGTGCTCAGATAAACCACACAGCTGCATCAAAAAGGAGAAAAAATTATTTTACATTATTTAATAAGGGGAAAAAAACTATTAAAAATTATCAAAGTAGTCAGACTATCCCACATTACAACCGGTGGTTGAGAAACATTTGAAATAAAATAAAGATTGTTAAAATAGAAGAAAAAAACTAATTTGGTTTTGCTCTCTTTAATTTTATATAAGTGATTAACAGTTGATCAGAAAGCGAATTAATTCATAAATGTGTTCATTTCTGTACCTTATTTATGATAAAAACAGCAAAATAAATCTATAAAGTTTTGTTTTTTTGCAGCTTTTGCTCAGATTATTCTTCCCTTCACATAAAATATGGTGAGAAAATGTTTTTTCAATGATCATAAATCATGAGTGAGACCTTTGATCTGTTCCAGTTTAATCAAACAACAGCATGAAGTGTTTGAAATAATTAATTTATAATCAGGAACAGCTCAGCGGCGTGTTTTATACAATAAATCCTGAAGTTTTTAAATGTTTTTATTCCAGCTGAGTTTAATTAATCCTGCAGCTCTGATTCCCTCTGAGGTTTCAGGGTTTGGATTATTTAAGGATAAAAGAGGAAAAAGAAGCTGGAATCAGAGAGATTTTTAGCAAATGTTTCCACTTCTCCCAGTAGCAGCCCCCACTGGGTCCAGTTTGATCTCTTCCTTGTTTCCTCCCTCCCAACTCATTCCTGCTCTCCTGATAACTGGTCCAGTTAACCCCGCATAGAACCGGACCAGGAGGAGAACTTCTCTACCTGAGCTCAGCCTTTAGAGCGGCCGGCCGGTTCAGGTAAACCCTCCGCTGGCTAGCATCCGGAGGCTAACAGTCCAAGGAGCTGAACTTCCAAAATGGAAACAGTGAGCGAGGCTCCATGGTCCATCCATTAGGAGACAACTCACCAACCGGAGGAGAGGTCGGCTTGTTTTCCTCCCGCCGCCGTCGAATCAGCTCCAAAGCCGGGCTTTCCTTCCAACAAGCCGGAGCCTCGGTGGGTTCATCCAGGGGGCTAGCAGCGCGGCTAAACGAGCTGCTGTAGCCGAACGACTCTCCCGTCTCAGGTTGCGGTGTTGTTGACAGGATAGAGCGGACAGCGCTGAGCCGTCTGACTGGTTAGCCCCGGAGCTGCGTCAAGCTAGCCCACGAGCTGCCGGGCTTCCGGTTCATACTTTCAAACTAAAAGTCACATTAAAATTTTCAAAATAAAGGTCACATTAAATATACTAACCTCTACGGCAGAGGATTAGGGCCACTGAAAAAAAAAAAAGTTAACTGATTTTTAAAATGTATTTCAGTTTAATATGGGGAAAAGGATTCTGACTTTTTTCTCAGAATTCTGAGATTAAAGTCAGAATTCTGACTTTTTTTCCAATGTTAAACTGAAATAAAATTAAAAAATCAGTTAACTTTTTTTTCTTCAGTGGCCCTAATCCTCTGCCGTAAACCTCTGAGCGGTAAAAACACAGATAAAATTACAAGAATGTCTGAATTAGGGCTGAAAGAAATTTTTATTATGCAAATATTAATTTGTTATTTTTTTATTAACTGCTTGATAATCGGATAGGTACAGGAGAGGATTTATGGCCACTCAAAAAATAAAAAAGCTACTTTTTCAATGTTATTTCAGTTTAATATGGAGAAAAAGTCAGAATTTATGACTCTAATCTCAGAATTCCTACTTTGATCTTAGA